ACTCAGTTCTGATTAATAAATACATGTATGAATATCCAACTGGTCAGAACTCATTGATTTGTATGAAAAAACACCTGTTAAACACAAAATACTCAATTAAAGCCACTGTTTTAGTCATTTGAATTAGTTATCTATTTTAAATTTCCATAACTTTAAACTTCACAATTTTCTCAGCTTTATTTTGAAACTTAGTTTGTAAAAATCGATCAAGAAATAAGGAAGTTATAAGAGTTTTTCATCAGGATGATGCCTATTGACGTCCATTCATTTTGTTGAGGCTCCTCAATGCATAACAGAGCTCCAGTGCGTGCACGTCAATGTAGCTAGCAATGCGCTAGCCATGCCCAATCCAGTAATACTGTATATATCAATGGATTCTGCTTTTAGTGAATGCACCAAAGAAACCTGAACTTTGATGATTAAAACCAGTAAGAACTGAGACTGGAAAATAAGTGGGGCTTTCAGGACTAAAAGGCTTTATTATTGTCAAAAGAAAAAGCTGGGGAGCCACCAAAAAATGTAAAAATAAGTAAGTAAGTAAGTAAAGTTTTATTTATATAGTGCTTTTCACAGAAATAAATTGACAAGGTGCTGTACATTCAGGGAAGTGGGGGAGGGAGCAGTTAAGACTGGTCGTGCAGCAAAACACAGTTGCTCTACGGCTACCTTAAAAACAAAACAACAGAAAAACTAAAAACCACACAATGGAAGATGAGGAAAAAAGCACAAACATCAAATATCAACACTGTGACACACTATGGTATTTACGAAAAAACTCTGCAAAGGGCAGATTTGTTAGCTAGAGGAGGAAGTGTGATTAGGGGGCCTGAAGAATCCAGTCCCCAAAACCAATRCAGCCATAGTTCAGATATATTGATGGAAACTGTTCATTCTGTGCAGCCTTCAGCCTGCTCAGGAATCAGATCAGATAGGTGTTAGAGGAGGGGGGGAGGTGAGGGGGCAGAGCCTTGTCGACGTAATCCGGCCAGGAAGAATTTAGTCAACAGATCAAGGCCGTTGTGGGGGGATCCAGATTTTTCAGTTGTTTTGGGAACAGAAAGAGTCAGGCAGACGATAACAATTTTCCATCTGCTTTAATGTCTGCTGGTACATCTCAAGGTGGCGAATCCAATCAGACAAATGGTGTGGACAAATTCCGCTGAGCCGTGCTATCAGCTTCTCCAAGATCAATTCCATCTGGCCAGCAAACTCCAGGGACCACAGCCGGCCTGCGACCCTCAATAGAACCACTTGCAGACCGAGTCCAGCTCGCTCAAGGCAAAATGTCCGAGTGCTGATAGTATACGGCCATCCATCAAGATGGTCAGTCA